GAGGAATTGATACAGAGATTCGATCTCGAAGGAGAATCCATGGTCGGTTTATCTCCTCCTCTCGATTTCTCTCGGTTGGTTTCTCTCTCTATGAAGCCGATTCGACGATTTGTGCTCTGCATGAAACCATCACCGGATTTGTGCTCTACATGACTCGATAACGGAGGAGAAAGGATAAACGAAGGTGGTCTCTCTCGTCTCGGTTTGTCTCTGTCCGGCATCTCTTTATCTTCCCGATTCCGACGGATAAATCCATGCATGAACCAAAATCAGTGGAGAAACGAAACGCCAAGGTATGTTTCAATCGATTTTCTGTGTATATCTATGTGTTGTTATAGTCGTTTAGGTTGATTGACCTTCTGATTTTGGTAATGAGATTAGGGTTTCGGAAAATGAAAACGTTCTTCTGTGAATCAGATTAGGGTTCCATAAATTCGAGAATTTGGTTTGTGATTTGGTAGAGTTTTGGTTTGCTTATTAATCTAAGAATCTGTTCACACTTGAATCGTTTTAATCACTTGTCTAATTCTTTGTTTCTGTTTTTCCAGGGATTTTGTAGGTGACAAAATGGTTAAGCATTCTGATTTCTCATTGTGTTCATATGGATAAAGCTCTTTGTGTCTTGATTTGTAGCTAATTACGATTTTSCTTCTGTATTTGTAGGTTAACTTCATAGCTTCATAGCTTATAACAGAGATGGAAAAATTAAATGGAGATGTTTTGCTTCATGTTCACCAATGTCTGAAGTTATTCATCTTAGCCATTTGTTCTATGTATCATTGATTCCTTTGTCTTTGTGTTAGTTGTAGATTAGGTCTAATAAATGATGTGTACAGAAGTAAATGGTTGTTAGTTGAGTTGTGGTTTGGTTGTGTAAATGACTGTTGTATGTATTGTTTGTGTAACTARATAAGTATGAAAACAAATCGGAATGTCATAAATGKTTGTTAGGTCATCTGTATTGACTCCTACTGTTACAAGGTCTTGTTAGCTCATCTGTTTAGTTGATAGGGCATTCATTGAATGGTTAATGCATTTCATAGTTAACTTGATAGAGCATTTCATAGTTAACTTGATAGAACATTTATGAACATGTATGATCACTGCTCTGTAAGTTATCTGTCTAAATCTAAGTTATTAGTATCATTGATGGTGGTTGCTTCGTGGTAGTTTATGAGCATGTATGATCACTACTCTGTCTCAATCTTAGTTAGTATCATTGATGGTGGTTGATTTGTAGTAGTTTTAGCTTAGGAATGATAAATGTTATGATAAATGGTTGTTACTTGCAATCTGTTTAATGCTCAGTCTGGTTTAGAGCATTCATTTAATCTTTTAGTTAACAGGTTGTCTATATATAAAACTCTA